GATGGCCACGACCTTAATGCCCTTCTGAAGGCAAGCCCTCAGGACCAGACGGCCGATGCGACCGAATCTGCAGTGAGGAGAGAGAGAGAGAGAGAATAGTGAGAAAATTGTAGGGAACTCCCCCAAGATGTCAGAACACCCCTGTGACCTCACATGGATCTAATAGCAGCTGTAAACAGAACTGCTCAGATCTATCATTTCAGAAACCAGTCAACTCTGTTATTGGTGGATTCAATGAAAATCATTACTAATCACTTTATTATTAATCATTTTACCCCTACATATACTAACCACCAGTAATAATCAAGAAAACTGTGAAAGCCCCTCGTCCCTGACGTCCTGTGTTAACCATCCTAAAATCAGTGTGAACCGCGTGTGTTTCCAACTCACCCATTGATTCCAACACAAAGGTCTGACATGGTTGCTGCTGTTTTGGGGTTATGGAGTTACCTGAGAGAAAAAACACAAAACAATGACATTAGAAACACAACTGCAGCATGGACACGTACGATAATCTCACTTTGTAACGTCCTCTAGCTGGCAATATACTCAGTCAGATGCATCTGGTGTCAACACTGGAAATCACTAAAGCTTAATGACGTGGCGGCAAATGTCACAGACTTTAAACATCAGACGGTAAACCTGACAGCAAAGACACAAACATGCACTCTGACCGCAGCAAAATGTTGCCCTGACAGTAGGAGGTGGCTTTAATCAGGTAATCAAGTTGTTGGCAATACACAATGAGGGTGTGTTTGTGATTGTATGCATTACATTGGTGTGACCAATCTGAACCTTCTGCTTATCAGTCCTAACATACCATAACAAGTCTGTACCTGTGCGATGATCTGAGCATTTGTAGACTTAGTATTAGGGATGAAACTGATCCATGAGGATTTGATTTATACTGTCCAGCATCAACCAAAGTTAGGATGTCTTCAAGTTGCAGGGCCAGTGAGCAACGTGCATTTGTTGTGTGTTGTAAAAAGGTGACAGGGGAGTGGCAGATAGGAGGGGGCTCCCCTAACTGCGTGCGTTTAACAAGCACTGATGCTTTGTCCTGACTGACGTTTGCAGTCAAATAACGAGTTGTCAAACTGCTCTCCACCGCTTTGATAAATAATTATCATTGTTATTACTTATAAATATATTATTTAAAACGGAATAATTACTTGAGTTATGTATTGGAACTTTTCTCTTCAAATTTTGACACCATTTCATCTCTGTTTAGTTTATTATTTTCTTTTGTCAAGTCAACTGTAAGGTCTGAATAACATAAGAATGACTGGTAGCAGAGGCCTCCTAGGACAGATAGCACATTAGCACAAAACAGTGAAAACAACACCAGGGTGTTAGGTGAGCAGAAAAACTCCAGGACTAGTAATATAAGTCAGATACTATGGTTGAAAGTAGATTCATAAATGAAAAAGGGTAAGATAGTGTCTGATGGGAAATTGAGGGAAAAGTACAGAGCGACAAAAGGTTTTTCGTGTTCCTGCTGGAAAGGTAGGGAGGTGTCTCATCATGCAGGGACATGTTTAGAAAATATTGGCATAGGAGGTGAGGAGCGAAGTGGGTTGCAGCTTTGTAACGACAACAAACAGAGACTTGTCTGCTGACAGAACAAAGAGGAAGCCTGGGCTGGACTCAACTATGTGACCTCCTTTCTCCTCTGCTTTCCTCTCCTTTTCATATTGTACACTCCTCTCCACACCTCCTCTGTGCACTCCTCCCACTTTTCCTGCCCCTCTTTTTTCTACTCTTTTCTGATTTCCTTCCTCATTTCATTCTTTATCTTCTCATAAACTCCACCTCTGCTGTCCCTGGTCTGTCTATCATAACAGGGATAAACACTTTTTGACATCATTTTCAGCCTCTCAAATTTATCCCAAGTCAAATTGTGACCACTGATTTTTTCCATTTAAGCTTTTGTGTGCCCTTGAGGTGACTAATTTGCTCATCCAAATTTTTCATTGTAAACACTGCTTCTACAAATCTGATTTCATTTATGGACTCATTTAGGGTTCAGTAAAACAGTGTGTGTGGTTTTGAGTGCAGATTGGACAGCTAATGTCTGTCCGAACCCATTCGAGTCTGAGAGACAATGAATCGAGCCCAACCTCCATCCCACAGGCATTCTGTGTTCTGAAGTTTTCCCTAATAACAAGCACGTGCATATTAAAAAGTAGATGGCCCAGCCAGCGTGTCCGAAAACAGACAGATGAACTCCTGTGACCCATCACTGGTTCAATATTCCAGAATGCAGCAGGCAGATTAAAGGCCGGCTAAAAGTTGTGTTTTACTGGGGCCTCATTAACATATATGTGAGGTTTACATTTACTAATACATGTGAACAGAAAAGGTAACTCGGTAGCATTTAGCAGTTAGCCTGACCAGTAGTGTGGCGTGTGTATGTTTGTGTCAGCCACAGGTAGCGTAAATAAGGGCAACGTGGATTGTCCTTGAAACTGGTTAGCTGTCATTTAAGACTAGTGTAATCTCCTAATCTGTGTGTCTCTGTGGGGAGCATGTAGGACAGGCTGTCAATCTGGTGAAATGCATTGTGGGAGCACTTGAAATAAACATAATGGAGCAACCAGATTAGGACACATCATCTCCCTTGGTTCTCCCACACTCTCAAATATGAATAGTGGTAAATAATAACTTGGTTTATTGGTTTTATAACTAACCTAGATTAGTTAACTTGTCCGGTCTGGAGCTGTAACACTATTTGTTTCAGGTCAAAATCAATTCATTGATCCGTCTGCCACAGTTTCAACTGTCGTTTAATGCATCATGTCTAGTGTGTAGTCTAGCGTCGTTATTATCCTTGTGTGATTTTTTTGTGGTACGTTTCATCAAGGGCAGAGCAGCTGCAAGCGTAATACAAGGTCACCAATGTAGAGAGAGAGGGACAAAGAGAGGTGTGACAATGCTCTCACATTTCTGTCTTTCTGCTCCTTTATACTCTGTTCCAACTGGTAGCTATTGTGCATTCACCAAACTCTGCACAGTGACCCCCTGTGGACTGTGCACTTTTTCACGGTTGGTCTTACTCTTGCTTTTCGTATTTAAATGTCTCCATTTTCTCTCCATAGAGGAGTTGCCCCTGGTTTTCCAACACAAAATGGCTGCGCTGCTGACAAATGATACAGTGAGCTATTCAACTTCACCAAAGAAAAAAGAAAAATGGGGCTTGGCTGAGATCACAGGAGCCACATAATACGTAGATCTGATGACTCTAGTGACGGGGCTCAGCTGTTTGAGTTAAAACTATGAAAATATGTACGATGGGTTTGTTTAAAAAAACTGATATAGGCAAGCATTGAAGACTTTACAAAAGGGCAGGTGCATGTGTTAGTGTGTGTCTACAGTTACTTGACGCGCCCCCCCCCCCCCGAAATGTCTGTTACTGTTGCCTAGCAGCAGTGTGGAAGTTTGGCCAATCAGTGGGAGAAGAGGGAGGGGTTACGTGGGGAAACCAGTGCTCTGGAAAAAGTCCATTTCCATTGAACTTGATTTAAAGAAATCCTGGCTTATTGTAAGAAAGTCAAAGGTTCATTACTTTCTGCTTTAACTTTACTTCCCTTTAATTTTTTTTTTTACACATATTCACATGCAGTCTTCTCATGAACGTAAAATATACGTAAAATATAACTTTTAGAGAATAACCATGTTATTCATACACATGACTTAAGTTAGATCCCTATTGTAGCAGAGGGAAACTACCCATTGTTTCTGTGTGCAGTAAATTATTTGATGTTATATTACAATAGGAAAGTTGATTCCCCAGCCAGCAGCTCCCCCTACTTTTCAACCACAGTCCCACCCCTTTGACTGAGGACCAATCAGCCCTGATCTGGCATTCAGCGCACGCTCCATGATGATAGCTCACAGAGCAGCTATTGTGCAGAGCAGAGCATAGAAGTAACACGTTGTTAACTGCAGCTGGCAATCTGCTGACACTCATTAAAAGATGGGAAGAAGAGGCAGACAGAGGGCCAGACATATGAACACCAGTAAAGGACTGTGCACCTCTCATCACAGAATTACTTTCAGTGCTTTACCATGGAAGGGCTGGCTTTAAGAGTCCTGTACTGAACACGAGCTTTCTATAACTAAAACTTGACTCAAACCCAGGAATTCACAGAGAATACAATGTCGTCAAAGTGAATTATGTTCAATGGTATCTCCTTCATGTGACATGGCTTGTGTGCACCACTGGCACTGGTGTAAGAAAAACATGATTCAGATTTCTGCAGCACAGTCCCCTCCCTGCAAGAGGCTGGTCAGACTTGTTCCATATGAGTAATATTGGAAATGCATCCATCCAGTCTTTCCTTTCCACCGCTTAACCTTCTTCTCACTGGTGCAAGAATAGAGCCTGACCGATCTGCTGGGATTTGATGCTGATATTAGGGATAAAAGTTATTAGGGACGCCTAATATTTTTTAATCAAACCCTTATGACAAAGATAATTAATTGAGGCTTGCTATTTTACAGTTTAATTTTAAACTCTATAGTAAACACCTATACATAAAAAGAAAACACAACAGCAAAATATTTAAACTTGAATGAAGAAAACAGATTTTTAAAACTTTGAATGTATATCTTTTTCTACATTTTGTTTCTATAGAAAAGGGTTCATATTACAAACACTGATATCTTTATGTCTGTGAAAGGCTCATATCAGCTGATATTATTGGCCAACCAAAATATCGGTCAGGCTCTACTTAGGATTAGACTAAAGCTTTGGAGTGCTGATTGGTCAGTGAAAAGAGAATGAATAATCTTCACTTCTAACAAATGTTACCTCTCTTTTCACATTTATAATTTTGTTTCTACATCTGTTTATCCTAACACGTTTAATTTTCTCTTCTAAATCCTGCTATTTCTCTCAGAGCTATGTCTCTTCCTTGCTTTTTGAGAATTATCCCTTCTAACGCCTTTTCTTCACAAATCATTAAAATTCATGCCCCTATTTGTCTGTCCTCTGTGCTCTTTGTCTCACAGGTCCCCCTCATTTACCACCACCCTACCCACCCTCTGAGCTGCGACCCATTTTCCTCACACAAACGCAGAGTTTCACCAGCGGGGGTGCAGGACAGGGTCATCACGGTTATGCAGGGAGAAAGATTACTTTATTACCAGTCAACAAGAAAAGGACAGAGACTGCATCGAAAGCATGGGGAAAAAATCTACTGAATGAGTAGAAGAGATGAGGACCAGCGCCTCCTCTGATGTCAAGCACCAACACTTGACCAAAAAAAACACAAATGATTTTCTCTGTCTAATAACTTAACCATTGACTGTGAAGTCAGTCACTTGCAACCAGCCCTTGTATGGACATCAGTTTGTGAGGAGCACAGAGAGACTACTGTACATCTTAACAACAGTATTACAGACAGGGCACATGCTGAAACCATTCACTTAATCCATGATGGTGATGTGAGTTGGGACTGGCCTGCTCTCTGTGTGTGGTGTAGTGACTGGCTGGAGTTTAATGGTAAAACTACAACAAGAAAACAACCACTCGTCATGCCAGCAGAGGCTAAGTTCACACGAAAGCTAATATACACATTCTTTGGTCTAACTTTTCCTGCCCACTATACCACTTCCTCCCTCCTCCTTCTACCACCCTTCTTCTGCTATTGGCTCTACAAAGCTTCCTCTTGCTGTCACGCCCTCTTTCTCTCCAGTGTTTTTCCACTGCAGTGAGTTGATTGGCTAGAAGCCAGACAGACTATCTAATTGGGTAAGGTTTTCTCTTCTTGCCCACCACTTAGAGAACCAAATAAATCAAACACATAACAGATACTTATTCAATATTTTATGCACACTCGAATGCAGGTGGGCAAAACTTTCTGTTTTCAGCAACTGAGGGAACCTTGGTTCTGCTCATTATCATCCCCTCCATCTTTCCCCCCTCAGCAAAGTACCTGCTTCCTCTCTTTTTATAGTCTTGTCACTGGGGCAATGTCACTTTGCTGCCGTAACCTTGTCAGTTAAATGTCCGACACCATCACATCACCAGTGCAAACACACAAGACCACCCAGCAGGCATGGCCTCCTGCTGACAGGGACAGTCAGATAAGAGGACCTTTCTGTCTACCACACCTCCGCCGGTGCCAGGGTACCAGCTGCAGGGTGTTTGGCTAAATGTATAGAGTTAGGAGGTGATAGCTTTATGTATTCCTACAAATACACAAACACCAACCTAGGTTAATGCAATTAATAAGGTGAAGCCTGCTATCGTGGTGTAACAAAGACATGTTCAGGAATACAAACATGCCTGTACTCACACACACATCTATAGTGTACCTTAACTACTACTTCTATAACTATTACTGTTAACTGTTAACCTAAACTTTAAAAATATGGCTTCACCTCAAGATTTATTGATATACATTATATGGGGACTTGCTTTTGTCCCCTCAAAGAAGACGCACATTCAGGACCTCACAACATACCTGGACTACACGCAACATCATGAATTATTAAAGAGTGTGCTTTGTCAAACTGCAGAGGACTCAGTATGAGGCATGTGACCACTCTGCAGAGGTAATGCTGGACCACACACACACACACACACACACACACTTGTGTCAGCAGGTAGATGACAGATATCCTTCCTGAGGCTGCAGTCTTGTGAATCACCTTCTCTCCTCTATCAAGCTACAGTACACCTTCATGTTTTGTCTGATACCCCCTCTCATATCATGCTAGATTTCCACACTTTGTAAAAAAAATTTATTTATAATTATTATTACTATTATATTCCAGTTATGTCCCTTCCTTTTGTAACTTTTTCCCCCTTAAAAATTGCTACAGTTAGTAGTCACAGACTTGAGTGCTGAGTCACTCCTCTCTTACACACATCCTGGACATAAATGGCTGGTTGTTAAATCAGCAGCAGAGAAAGATCGAGAGGGACACTCACAGTGACCTCGTCTAGTAAAAATCCCACAACCTTTATAAGAATACGTGTGTCAATCTAGAAAAAGAACAACTTGAGGATGAATGCCTCAAATGTAACCCAACACTGTATTTTTAAAATTAGTAATAATCCACAAACTACTGTACACTAATCTGTGTTTATTTTGAGTCCAGGCAACCTGCTCTGAAGCATGCACCAGAGCAACACGCAGATACACCTGAGAGTCCAGTCCACATATGACCAGGATCATAAAGACCCCATGGTCTCTTTATTATGAAGGCTGTAGTCCATGTTAGGGTGGAATCACACATCCTGTGTGTTGTTAGTGTGACCCAGCTATTGTCATCACCMMATAGTTTCCTCCTTGCACAGCAAAGTGGCAACATGTTGGCCACACAGACGCTGACGTTTACATTTCAGACGTTTAGCTGACACCTCATCTAGAGCAGCAACAAGAGCAGACACTGACACGACAAGATAACAAAGTCTGTGCATGACATGGAAACAATGTCCCTGCTGTGTCTAAAATAAAATAATGATGCACAGAATATGCAAATATAAGTCATCGTGATATATCAGTCCACCAAAGAAAATCCAGACAATCACAGTAAATTTTAATATGTATAATATATAGATTTTAATATTCAACAGTGACTAGACTGGCTTTTGGAAAATTCAACTTAGATTGATTTATGTGCTGTGGACGTTCACTGCAAAACTATTATCCAATGATGCATGGCATGCGGCTGCTATTTTTCTTTAACTCCAGGCAAAGCACAGCATTTTAACTATAGTCCTCAGAGGCCTGTTATTAATAACCCTCAGCTACCCAGAGGCTGAGGAATGAGGAGTCACTCCTCTTCTCCAAGTCCAGTGTGAATGACTTGTTTCTAGAAAATAAACTGCAGGATGAGAATAAAGATCAGGGGCATCGCTGCAGCAGCTCTGGGCCTGTGCTGTGACCTTCCTCAGCTGGAGTGATGACCTTCAACACTGAGAGGAGGCCAGACATGGCTGCATCATACAAGAAACCAATCAATAACTTCATCCAAATCCTGGTTGCTCCAATACTTTTTACATATACTTATAAATACTTTGGAATATCAAATGAAATTATGAGAGACAATAAGTACCACAGGACCGTGTGGCTTGCAGGCCATACTGACAATGCATTTTTTTTAAAAACCCTTTATTATTTTTTCCCTGCTGAACACGTTTGCCTTTTCAGTTTTTATAATCAAAGCCTTGTTGCATACTCATGAAGTGTTCTCAGATTTCACATGAGGTGTAGTTCAGTGTTAAGGACAGAGGCCTCTTTGCAAACCGCATCAACAGGTCTGTCGAGTCTGGAGTCGAACTGCGGCAGAATCCTGCGCCTCCACTCTGCCTCCGTGCCCTTCACTTGCAGCACGGGAATTAGAGCTTCCACCTCTTCCCCTCCATCTTTTCTACCTCAGACACAGTCAAGGTTATTCATCCGTCATTCCTCCTCCCTCACGTCACAGCGGTGTCTGCTCACCGTCTTCAACACCATGGCGCAACCACGACAGACTTCATCACGAGGACGAGAGGAGGCACGTAGCTTCACCTCCGTCCACGGAGCTGATACGCCCTGTACAGACGCTTTATTACGGCTCCGTGCAGCTTTATTACAATCATCTCCTCCTGTAAAACTCATCTTTAGCACAGCATCTTCCTACGTAGTCTGCTCGTGGGGTTTATATATCGTTATATATATATATATATATTTCTGTGCTGTGTTACATAACATGGAGACTAATCCACTTCCGCAAAGATGCAGCAGTGGGAGCTGCCAATGTCACGTTACCCGCTAAAGAGGACGATCGAGCTTCAATTGAATGACTTATAGATTATGAATGAACCTTCCTTTGAAACACGCAGGTCTACTTTAAACTGTGGTGCGATCCATTCTGTTTCATCCTGCAGTGAGTTTGCAGCTTTGGGGGATTTTGCTGAAATCTCAATGATGCAACTAACCGTCTCAGCCAGAGAGCACATTACACAAGCAGCAGCCTGTCTGCACACTGCGAGGCCGTGACTGCATCCCCTCCCATCCTCGCCTTTCTCTTCCTGTGCACGTACGCACAGCATGTCTCTGCTAACTTAGCTTTAGGAGCTCTTAGCTTCTCTTCCCCTCTTTGAACGGATACGTGGCTCATTAACACAAAGATGGAGGTTCAATTCACCACACAGACGACATGATGGCCGCGGGCTTCTACAAGTCACTCAGGGCTTTTCGTTACGTCACCCTCAGGAGCACATGCAGTATTTTTTGCGGTAAACATGAAGAATTTAGATTTAGCATTAATATTGCAAAGCTGGTGTTAGCGCAGACAGAGGAGCTAACGTTTGGAAAGTGAAGATTGAATCGTGTGAAACGATTGAAATGGCCTCAGTTTGAACAACTGACGCGTATTAAAGCGACATGTCTCTGCATGGAGGACATGTCTCTGCAGCAGCAGCTTACCTCTCGGATGCTTCTGGAGTCTGTGTGCGCAGCGCTCCGCTCTCTCTTCCGCTTTTATACAGGACACGTGCCGCCGGGAGCCCGGTCGCCCTGGCGACGTGACGTCATATCATCCTCTGCAGTGAGGATCCATTCGGAACGAGGGTCTGGTCACGGCCCCTCAGAGGCTGAGGCCTGGAGAGAGGGAGGATGGAGGGATGGTGGAGGGATAGAGGGAGGATGGAGGGATGTTGGAGGGATAGAGGGACGGAGGGATAGAGGGATGGACTCGGTAGAACAGCTTGTTCTCGAAATCTGTATATACAGTCTATGTTCTCAACACACACCTGAGGGCTGTCTGTGATGAAACACACACACAAACACTGTGAGACACTTGATCAAAACGTGGAAATGATGAAGCAGCAGACTTCCCACCATGCACTCGGCTCGACACGTGGACATGATGAAACATGGCTCGGTAGATGCTTTTTTTACCCAATTATATCCCCGTGTAATTACGCACGGTGCTAAAAACAACGATAAAGCAACGATATGTAAGATGTATATATACAAACAGGACGATTCAACTGTGCATTCATGATTATACCTGAATTGTTTTACACAGGGATTTAGAACTGATCTTCCATGTCTTATAAATAAAGTTGTTTAAAAAAAACATAGCTCGAGAGACGGTGACAGGAAATCCCAGCGACAGCTATAGATCACATCAGTATGTGTATGTGATAGGATGGCTGCCCTCTCTGCACGTCAGACTGGATGTTCTGAGAACACAAATGTTTTATAGCCAGTGCTCCATTATGCAGTGATCCATGAACGACTGCAGGCTGGGTCGCCTATGGATGCTGTGTGTGTGTGTGTGTGTGTGTGTGTGTACATGTATGTATGATGCAGCATCGTTACATAACAAGTCATAAATCTAACAAGTCGCTTTTCCATGGTGGCAGTCTGTTCTGCTGCTAAACTGGTATATTTGCAGGTACATGTACATAGAAAAATAAATAAATCTATGTTTAAGAAGGTTTTTTTTCTATTCTATTCTATTATTTCCTGTTGCACGCCCCTCCTCTCCCCTCCTCCTCTCCCCTCCTCCTCTCTCCTCATGCCACAGCATGTGTCTCACTGAGAATGAGTGTACGTGAGGGAGGATGCGTACAGTGGTGTAACATGGGAAATCCCTGTGGTGCAGTGCATGTGTACATGGGAGAAAATGGCCTCATAAAGGCTTTCTGCCAGAAAGCTTTTGCCTGCAGTGGTCAATGAAACAGTCTTTCCTATTTAAAACTAGATGATTCTCCCAGTCTTACCAAACTGTAACTGAAAAGTGAAACCAGAAAGCAAAGCTCCCCGAAGGCAAACCTCTCCGGACTCGGTGTAAATAGGAAGGAAATGTCATTGACCAACAATTGAACACATTTCCCTTTTTATGTTTTGTCATCGCTGCTGTTTGATTTCTCCATCATAACCTAATATTATGCTATATGTTTTACCACAGTGGTGTAGCTCTCATTTTCTTTTATACTGTTTTTATTCATTGAGCAGGTACAAGAAGACAAGAAGACACACAATTGTGTCAACCAAAGAGGTTGGAGGCGTTATTTGATTTGACAAAGCTATAGACCTGAAAGTAACAAAATAGATGAGATTTAAGAATATTGAATTTTCACATAGTTGACTGAAACTACAAAAGACATCGTTGATGTACAGTCCTCTAAGCCTGACAAGACCCAGCCCTGCCATAGAGAGAAGGCCATATAGTTTCTGGGAAGTAGAAAGAGATAGCTGTTGCAAATGGGACTGAGATTAGACAATCCTTGCAGTCAAAGAGCAAGCCTGAATTGGGACCAGATTCGTAAAGTGCACTACAATAGGGTGGCATGTAAATTGGGTTGGGGGAATAGGCAGTTTTTATGAGTAGAGCTAAAAGTGAAGTAGAAGGGAATGATTTGGCCTCAGGTTAACATCAGTTTATTGTTGGCTCCTGAATCCAAATAACCATTTTGAGTATATTTGCTGCCCAGTAATAATTTGTGAAGTCAGGAAGTACCCATCCACTTACATATTTCTGCCTGTGTAAAAACTGTCTCTTGATCCTGGGGGCCATGCCCTTCCATAGGAAAGAGGAAATCAGCTTGTTGATTATTTGAAGAAAGGATATGAGTTAATAAATTGGCCACAGCAAATAGCAATGGGCTCAGAGGGCACCCCTGGTGAGTTCCTCTCCTGAGTGTGAAATACTGTGATTTTCTACAGAGACATTGGGTAAAGAATGTACAAGTGTTATCCAGGATATGAATTTGGGACCCCCACTCCACTCTGAAAACACATAGACCCAGAACTCTCTATGAAACCATCAGAGAACAGCATCTATGCACAAAACCTTAGAAAACCACTATTAGAAAACATGATCTCAGGTCATTTGTAATTCATTCAATTTGTTTAACATGTGCCATTGCCCAATATTGGATGTAATTTTCATGCACTTATTTTGTAAAGTATTGAGTAATTCCAAGTGGGCTATGTTTTAAATGTTTTATTGTTTTGTAATTCTGAACATGTTTGAATTATTGGCCCATCTAGGACCAGAAGTTAAACTATGGCGCCCTCTCATGGACAAACCACCTTCTTACACTCCAGGATTCGTGCATCATCTTTGATTCAGATGTTCAACCAGGATAAATAAGATCTGAAATGTTATGCATGTTTTTTCAAGGCATTTCAAAGGCAGGAGGTGTGTCTGTGAAATGTGCCTAACACTCTCTGCCACCTCTTGCATCCTAGTTTGGACAATGAATGCATGCAGCATGAAGGAGGGGGGTGTTGTGGAGGACCTCTTTTATATTTTATAGTAAATATATATTTATAACATTTTCATTTTTATACTTATTTTAAATTGTAAACATCATTACTACTGGCACCGTGAGGGTAAATTACTTACACTATCCTTGTAATTTATTCTTTGTACACTAGGGGGCAGACTTGACTTTATAGTAGTACACCTGCATGCTGTCGTTTGAACTGAGGGTCAGTGTTGTTGTCCATTCACTTTGAGTTGAATCTAATTTGCAGTAATGACTGTCTGTGACAGCGCAGCACATATTTTACAGTGAATAAAGATTTTAAAAATCAGTTTCTGATGAAGGGAAATAAATCAAGTTTGCCAAAACTGTTACCTACGAAATACTTTGATATATGAATTTGAACTAACCATAACATGTCCATCATATGTCAGTGACAGATACAGTGTATTGATCATGTCTTGTGTGAAATATCAAATGCTCACAAGGGTTTTAAACATTTCATGACAAGAGCGAGACTTAAAAACACTTACCAGTTGTGAAAAATATTTATCTTATATGTTTTTCATAAAGTGTAAACTACAGATACAAATAATGCACTTATTTTATAGCAAATGTTATTTTCAAAGAAATTCAACCCATCATAGCATTACATTTTACATGAGGTCTGCCAGCTCAATTATGATAAGTGTTGCAGAGAGCTCTGCATCTTGTTCAGTATAACGAAATATAAACTATACACACAATACATCACAAAACAATTGTTGCCAGGTAACAGGAAAACAGAAAACATCACAGTCTGCACTTAAACCTCAGTAATTTGTTAGTTTAATGGAACCATTCCATCAAAAGTCAACAAATGCATTTGCAGATATGATGTGATTTATATACTGATTACATTTGCTCACAGATTAAGAGAAACCTTTATGATATGTGTAGAACCTAGATCACAATGTAGTAGAGCCTTGTCTTCCATTATAACGTCCTTTTTCTTGGGTATTTTTCATTATTTCTTTCCTCTGCACGTCATCGATCATATGTTAAAAGCAGAAAGCACCTGCGCAGCAGAACAAGGTATTTATTGATATTTAAACTTCCTTGTATAAACTGTTAGCTGAGACGAGCCACTAGCCAAATGACAAATCTTTCATATACACCTCCTACCGCAACTTAACAGGAAATTTAGGTCTGAGCAGAGGTGTGTGGGTGTGTGTGTGGGTGTGCGGATGTGAACATATGAGAATTCAGGGTTTTTTTTCATACACAACTCTGAAAAAACAAAGCATTTGTCATCATAATTCAGACTTTTTAAATAATTTCCACATGTTCCAGTTATGTCAGGGTTTTAATAGCCAGAGCATTATGGCTAATTTTCGCGTTTACATTACTGCACACACATATGATTACATCTCATATAGTTTTTCTTCACATTCTCAACCCACTGCAAGTGATTTAAGACAAACCTAATGCTGTGAGCTGGAGCAGTTCAACACACTGAGCCCATGGTACCATTAAAACAACCTCCTGACCCCCTCAGGCAGAGTGCTGGCCCTCTCTGATAATATTTTCATAGGCTGTGAATTATAAGTGTTTAAAGGGGCACTAATCGCAGAGTTACACTCATGCCAAGAGCTGCTTAGCATCAGTAAACCACAGCGTCTGAATAAAGGGCCTGGAGGGCCAGGTTTTAGCCAAAGTTAAAACATTCATTATAACAATTATTTTTTATGGCATATCTGACTTTTAAGTATGAATTCTGTGGAAAATAAAAGGAAGGATGGGAATGAAATACAGCAGAAAGCCATCTTTATTCTGATTTAAACCCCTGAGACAACTTATACATAGTATGCGCCTGCAGGCTGCTGCATTTCCAGAATTTTCCGAACTTTCTAGCTGAGCCCAGAGATGGTGAAGTAGCCAAAAGGCGAGGCGACCCCTCAAAGGTAGAAGGTTCTTGGCTTGAGTCGTTGCGCTGGCTGAACAAAGTGAGTGAGAATCTGAAGAGATCCTCTTCAGGACAGTGTTTTACCTGCGAGCAGCTGCATGGTGGTTAACAGGATGAGGCTGTGATTGATGCTTGAACCTGTATGAATGTGAGGAACAAAAAAACGAATGAGAACCGTTTGACTCAGGAGGAATTATGAGGCAAATTCAATGTTGGCCTCAGTGATACAGGAACTTCTAATGCCACATCACAGGTATATGACTGCAACCTCAGCGCCAACAAATGTCCAAGTTCCTTTGGAAAATCAGTTTTTTTCAAATTGAATTAGTTACAAAAAATGGAAATTAAAATATCTTATTGTGAATTTTAAAACATTGTGCTGAAGCATATGGAAGCACTTTTAACTTTTACATGCAGCACTTTTTCACACACAATCCTCTTAACAGACTTGATCTTCATGAGTATTCCCCTTTTCTCAGTGAT